GGGAACAGCAAAAACCTGAATTATTCCATCCAAAAGAATAACAATCGCAGCCCTTGAGGTACTTTTCATGATTAAAATTTACCACACCTAAATGCTGGGAAGGATATATTCAGATACTTTGAAAAGTAGAGCATGGACTAGGCTATATGCCATGAGTAATACTTAAATCAATCTGGAAATGTCTGTAAATATATTTTCTTATTGTAAAGCCAACATTTGTTGTGTCATATAAAATATGTATACAAAATTTACATATGGCTTCTCATTTTACTTTAGCCAACTAACCACATTCAAATTATTAAGTAATTGGGTAACTACTTCTCAAGGGTGCATCTCTTCTATTCTGTCAAGATTTCTTTTTGTTTGCATTTAATGGACACAATCTTTAGGAACAGTACAGAATAAAAACCTAGACATCTCAGTCCTTTGGTTATTTATTTCTTTATTTTTAAAAAAGATTATTTATTTATTTATTCATGAGAGATACAGGGAGAGAGAAAAAGAGAGCGAGAGAGAGGGAGACAGAGAGAGAGAGAGAGAGAGAGAGAGAGAGAGAGAGAGAGAGAGAGGCAGAGACACAGGCAGAGGGAGAAGCAGGCTCCATACAGGGAACCTGATGTGGGACTCAATCCCACCAGGACTCCAGGATCACAACCTGGGCTGAAGGCAGGCGCTAAACTGCTGAGCCACCCAGGCATCCCTCCTTTGGTGATTTAATGCCATTAGCAAATCTTCCTTGTTGTAAAGTGTGAACAGAGGCTAAAATTATCATCTGGACTGTACAAAACATTTTAAAGCAGTGGCCTGTCTGTTTTTATTCATCTCCTTCCTCATGGTTTAAGTATAAAGCATTGTAATTCTTTTTTGAGGGTGAAGATAGTTTTAATATTATTGGCTCCTTTCCCCTTGTTATGGTGAATAGCAACTCTATTGGTTAATAGTGGCTAACCAGTTCTTTAGAACACACTCTCCAGCAAAGTCTAACTTTACTTAGGGGCCCCTGGGTGGCTCAGTCAGTTTAATATCTGCCTTCAGCTCAGGTCATGGTCCCAGGATCCCAGGGTCCTGGGATTGAGCCCTGTGTCAGGCTCCCTGCTCAGTGAGGAGTCTACTTCTCTCTCTCCCTCCCTCTGCCATCCTCCTGCTTGTACTCTCTCTCTCAAATAAATAAAAATCTTTAAAAAAACTAGTCTAACTTTATTTAAACAATGTATATGGACAAACTTGACTGTTTTTATTAAACATACATCATAGTCCTCACAAATAACATTGTGACTTTGCTGTCAAGTATAGAATCTTTACAAGAAGCTTCTGAGCATTTTGTATGGTTTGTCTGGAAATGTCTAGAAACATCTGGAAATGTCTATAAATACATTTTGTTATTGTAAAGCCAACATTTGTTGTGTCATATAAAATATGTACACAAAATTTACATATGGCTTCTCACTTTACTTTAGCCAATTAAACACATTCAAATTATTAAGTAATTGGGTAACTACCTCTTTAAAAAAAACCTATGCATGGTCTCTGCCAGTTAAAAAGATAAGACTAATTCTACTTACCTTCTTACAACTTCTTTCCATCCTTCTTCTCTTTTCTGTCCCCTTTTGGGGCTAGTCAGATTCAGCTTTATGTTTGGAGAACTTAATGGCAATGGCACTGACTTACAGCTTGTTGATAAGGAATTAGTACTTGTTTCACCTTCAAGTCTGAGAAGAAAGAATTATCAAGTCCAGTAAAACAAATTTTAAGACTGAAACTCAAGAGACCACTTAAAGACAAAGTTATGCTGAAATATTTGAATTAAAATTTGGCACATTAGTTCAGAAAAGCAGAAAAAACAGAGCAAAGAGTTGATCATCTACTTCAGTATTAAAGCAGACTCAGAAGCCAGAAGTTGCACTACAATCAGTAAAAATGACATAGTGAAAATAAAATCAATATATGCTAGTATTTTCAACTTTAAAACTGAATCATAAAAATCTCTAATAATCTCACTTCATAAGTTGCATGTGATTAGGACAGTAGTGAATTTCAGTTTTGATTACTGAAGACAGATAATGTGGTAGATCTAAATTGTTTAATACGACTTGTGCTAAAAAATGTACTTCAGATTCTTGAGTGGGTCATGAAAAAGGAAAGGTGGATGTAGAGTTAACAAATCAGAAAAATTTACCGTGTCTGAGTTTTGGAAGTGGCAGTACTTGTCTTCTCTTCTTGGGAATGGAGTAGCAGTGAGGTGTATCTCCTATCACTAGAGGAATTCACATCCATAGTGAAATTTAACTCTTGGCTTTTACCACCACTGCTACTCTCACTGTTGCAGTCTGTGTTGTCCAAGTTATCAGAGTCACTATTTCCACCTGTACCACCACCTCTGGGTTCTCCATTTATTTTATTTTTATCAGCTTTTTGCTGTGCTAAGGATATATGTTGTTCTGGTAATATTAAATGAGCAGTGGGAGGGGTCTCCTTTGTTTTGTTCTTCTTATTTTTCCGATTGGTGCTGGGGGTTGTCACCACGTTGGCCCTTTTTTTCCCAAACACGTTTGTGAATGTTGCAGATGTTGCAGAGATTCCAATTGTGGTCGTGGTCGTTGCACTAGGAGGTTCTATGGGAACTTCTTGCTCCACTGAAATTATCAAAAGGATAAAAATCACACTCATAGCCACAGATCTCAAAACAAACTGTGACAAGATATACATAATAATTCACAATAATTCAGTCCCTTAAGTCATCTTTTCCTTTCACCAGTATTCATTAGTAAATAAAGAAATCTTCATTGTTAGAACACAGGTACTATATACTATTTTAATGTCTAACTTAATATGAAACATTCATACCATAACATTCTTAAAATCTGAGATGCTAGTCGCATGAACTAACCAAAAATCACAATACAGCTTAAATTCAGGAAAATTTTCATAGTTGGGTTATTGTCAATAATGCTGATATAAACTTTGGGGTTGCATGTACCCCTTTGAATTGGTAGGTGGGGAGTATTATGCTACGCAAAATAAGTCTGTCAGAGAAATACAAATACTATATGATTTCATTCATATGTGGAATTTAGGAAACAAAACAAAGGAGCAATGGGGAATAAAAAGGGGAGAGACCAACTAAGAAACACTCTTAACTGTAGAGAACAAAACTGATGGTTACCAGAGGGGAGGTGGGTGGAGGGTGAAACAGGTGATGGGGATTATGGAGTACACTCGTGATGAGCACCAGGTGTTGCACAGAAGTAATGAGTCACCTAAATTGTACATTTGAAACTAATATTACACTATGTTCATGAACTTGAATTTTAATAAAAACTTAGAACAATTACTTGTCTACTACGAGCACTGCTAAAATGCACAAAACAACTCTGAGAATAATGAACTCTAGCCCTGTATAGCTTTGAGCCCAAACCTTAGCTCAAAATTTATTGAGGAACTGGACCTCTCCCTAGATTCCAAATGAAGGAGGAAAGGGTAGGGTAGAACCTGAAGAGAAGCTGGCAAATCTCTTTACTGTCTCACATTCAAGACATACATGACGTTTGACAGAACTTACAACTGAACTTCAAATTACATGCTTGCCTTCCCCCTTTTTGTTTCTCTGTATAACTTCACAATGTAAAATATTCAGAAATATTAACTATAAAAGTCAACTATCAATTTCAGATTAAAGTACTGGATATCTAACTAGAATTAGAATAAAAAGTACTCAAAATGAAGTTGATAAACAGAATTTTATCCTAATTTGGAAGGGTCATTCTTACCATCTTCATCATTCTCTTCTTCATCTTCATCCTCTGGTAGTTCTGAATTCTCTTTAGGTTTGTTTTCCTCATCTTCTTCCTGCTTCCTTTTCTGTTCCTCTTTTTTCTTTTTTCTCTTTTCTTTCCTTTTTTCTCTTTTAGCTGCAAGAGCCTGTTTTCTGCTCTCCTCTCTTGACTGCAAATTAAGTAGGTATAACATTTTACCAATAATGCAATCATTTAAAATAATGAATATTTTTGTTACGATAGATGGGGATTCCCATGGATATCAGTCTCAAAACATACTTAAAAAGCACACACACATAAAAGATAAACTGGACATCATCAAAATTAAATTTTTGTACTTCAATGGAACCATCAACAAAGTAAAAAGAATGCATGAAATGGGAAAAATTTTTTGCAAATCATACATCTGGTAAGGGATTTGTATCAAGAATCTATAAAGAAGTCTCATGACTCAATAATGAAAAGACAAGTAACTCAAAAAATATACAAAGCACCTGAACAGGCATTTTTTTCAAAGACTATATATATATCTATGAAAAACTATATATATAATAGATATATATCTATGAAAAGCTATGTATTATATATTAAAAATTATATAGAGATATATCTATGAAAATTATGTATTATATATACATATATGTATTATATATACACATATATATATGAATAGTCAAAACATATGAAGACATATGCTCAATAACTACTAGACATCAAAGAAAAGCAAATCAAAATCATAAGATAATCACATGATATCCACTAGATGGATAAAATAAAATAGATAATAGGGCAACCCGGGTGGCTCAACGGTTTAGTGCCAGCTTCAGTCCAGGGCCTGATCCTGGAGACCCTGCATGGAGCCTGCTTCTCCCTCTTGCCTGTGTCTCTGCCTCTGTCTCTCTCTCTCTCTCTCATGAATAAATAAATAAAACCAAAAAAAAAAAAAAAAAAAAAAAAAGACAGATAATAGCAAATATTGGTGAGGATGTGGAAAAATTAAAACCTACAAACCCTGCTGGTAGGAACAAAAAATAATGCAGCTGCTTTGGAAAATAATCTGGCAGTTAGTTCCTCAACTGGTTAAACATAGAATTACCATGTGATCTAGCAATTCCCTTCATATATATATCTATATATGATAGAAAAGTGAAATGAAAATATGTTCATACAAAAAAACTTGTATACTGTGATCACTTTGTATACATAGCAAACTTGTATACAAAATTTGTATACTGTGCTTGCTTTTATATACTAAAAACCTCCAACAATACACAGAAGATTAGCATGGCCCCTGAACAAGGATAACATGCAAATTCATATTTAAAAAAATTCATTCCGGGCAGCCCCGGTGGCACAGCGGTTTAGCGCCACCTGCAACCCAGGGCGTGATCCTGGAGACCCTGGATCGAGTCCCACGTCAGGCTCTCTGCATGGAGCCTGCTTCTCCCTCTGCCTGTGTCTCTGCCTCTCTCTCTCTTTCTCTGCCTCTATGAATAAATAAATAAAATCTTTAAAAGAAAAAGAATTCATTCCATATTAAAAAAAAAAAGAAAAACTTGTATACCTATTGTATACCTATAAGGAGGAAACAACCTGAATGTCCATCAACTAATGAATGGACAAATAAATATGTGTGTGGGATGGGATATTATTTAGCAATAAAAAAGAAATTAAGTATTGATACATGTGACAATATGGTTGAACCTTGAAGACATGAAATAAAAGAAGCCAGTCACAGAGGAACAAACATTGTATGATTCCATTTATATGAAATGTCCAGAATAAGCAAATCCATAAAGACAAAGAAGAGTTTAATGGTTAACCAAGCATACAGGGATTGAAGGGGGTGATACTTAAAGGGTGTAGGGTTTCTTTTTAGGAATGTGAAAATATTCTAAAATTGACTGTGGTGATGAATGCACAATTCTGAATATACTAAAAGCCACTGGATTGTTTGTGTGTTTGAAAAAATATATATTTTTAAGATTGAATTTATTTGAGAAAAAGGAGAATACGAGCAGGGGGAGAGGCAGAAGGAGAGAGACAAACAGAAACCCTGGTGAGCGGGGAGCCCCTCTTGGGACCAGGATCCCAAGATCACGACCTCAACTGAAGTCCAATGCTTAACTATGCCACCCAGGTACTCTGAAAATTCATATAAATAAATAAATAAATAAATAAATAAATAAATAAATAAATAAATAAATTTTTTTTAACTAATCTCTACACCCAACAACATGGGGCTTGAACTCATGACCCTCAGATCAAGAGTTACATGCTCTACCCACTGAGCCAGCCAATCACCCCCGAAATGTAGACTTTAAGTCTGTGAACTGTGTGTGTGAATTAAACCTTAGTAATGCTGTTAAAAAATACATTTATGTAGTATCTGTTTATTTGACTAAAATGCAGCTATCATGATCTTTATAAACTACTAAAAAATCTCACTGTAAAAATATTGACCAGAGACTATTATAAAAATTATTTTCCTACTTTATAAAATTTTTAAAGCCACATATATAATTGTGATCACTTTTAGATTTTGCTATGGTTAGTACTAGGAAATGTTATTTATTTTTCCCCAAAAAGGGAACATAGTAATAAGATGCTAGCTTCATGATGAAAGTTTGAAACACGTAGGAAACATATTAAATTATGCATTCTTCTTTGGTAATTAAGTAAAACATTTTCCTCAAAATTATAATTTACCATTTTGAGGCATAAACTGATTATTCTTTGAAATGTTTTTAATCCAAATCAGAGGTTGGCAAACTATGGCCTGAATGCCAAATCCAGTCTACTGCCTGTGTTTGTATGGCCTGAAAGCCAAGACAGACTCTGACATTTTAAATGATTGAAAAAAATTAAATGAGTATTTCATGACACTTAAAAATTACACAGAATTCAAATTCCAGTGTTCATAAATAAAGTTCTATTGGAACACAACCATGCTCATTCATTTAGCTGTTGCCTATGGCTGCTTTTGTGCTACAGCAACAGAGCTGAGGGCTTATGACAGACATCAAATGGCCCGCAAAGCCTAAAATATTTACTATTTGGCATTTTATAGAAAAAGTTTGCAATTCCCTCTGTAAATGAGAAAGGATTGAGAGAAGAGATTGCATATTCAGCTAAAAACTGAATTTCCTCACTCTGAACAAACTGGTTAGCTGCTCAAGGGAATTGCTGACCATATGCCTAGGTAGCTACACAAAAATCAAAATTATAGACATGAAAGGTACCTTAATAGTCATCTAACTATGAATTTTGCTTTATTTTAAAATGAATATAACTTTTTCCCCTTCTGATTTTACCTATAATCCTAAGGTTTCTACTTTTCCCCTTATTATCAGCAATGAATGCCCTTATATATTCACATCTTTTGAACATTTGTCTAATTATTTACCTTAGGCTAAATTTTTATAAGTGGAATGGTGGGAGTATGGATATCTACCCTTTAAATTTATTTGTGAAAGTACTTCTATTAATAGTTATAGTAATTTATACCATATATCAAAAACCATTCGCTAGAGTGATAACCTTTCCCCATCCTTGCCATCAGTAGCTATTATCAAATCTTTACATTTTAAGTTTTGCCAATCTGGTAAAAATTGACATCTTTCTTTCTTTCTTTTTTAAAGATTTTATTTATTTATTTATTTATTTATTTATTTATTTATTTATTTATTTATTTATTTATTCATGAGGCACAGAGAGAGAGGCAGAGACATAGGCAGAGAGAGAAGCAGGCTCCATCCAGTAGCCCGATGAGGGACTCGATCCTGGACCCCTGGATTACACCCTGAGTTGAAGGCAGACGCTCAACCACTGAGCCACCCAGGTGTCCCTTTATTTCTTTTTCTGTGAATTGCCCATTCATCTGATCAGTTTTTATTCTGGGCAAGTTATAGTTTTTTCAATGATTTGTAAGAGACCTTTCCTTCTGTTCTTAGCTCATACATTTTTTTGGGGGGGTTGTTTGTTTGTTTGGGGGAGGTGGGGAAGGGCAGAGGGAGAAGGAGAAAGAGAATCTTAAGTAGGCTCCACGCCCAGCATGGAGCCAAATGCAGGGCTTGATCTCATAACCCTGAGATCATGACCTGAGCCAAAGTGAGAGTTGGACACTTAAATGAGTGAGCTATCCAAGCAGCCTGTATTTTTTTTTTTTTGTAAACTAAGAATTGGTTTCAAGGTTTTAGTATCTCTCATGTATTTTTTCTTCCTTTAATCACCAACAAAATATCTTCATTTTTAAAAAATATTTTATTTATTTATTCATGAGAGAGAGAGAGAGGCAGAGAGGCAGAGGGAGAAGCAGGCTCCATGCAGAGAGCCCGACGTGGGACTCGATCCCAGGTCTCCAGGATCACACCCTGGGCTGAAGGCGGCACTAAACCACTGAACCACCCAGGCTGCCCAAAATATCTTCATGTTAAGCTACCTCTTGCATTCTTAAGATAACTCTTACTTGATCATAGTGTTTGTTCTTTTAATACAACTTCTGGATTGAACAGCAACACCCTCATTTTCCAGGTAAGCAGAATGACCCCCAGAAAAGCAATCTTGTTTTTTTATCCTTTTCCATTATACCACACATCTTAGGATATTAGACACTAACTCTATAAGGGAGGATCTAATAAACTACTAATAGCACACATTTTATAGTTAGCAAAAGATTTTCAATGTTTTACTAAATTTTCTCTCAAACTAATGTTAAAACCACTTAGGTAATAATGTCATTTGGCAAACTGCAACCTGCTTGAAAACTAGTCTTTCACTTATATGGTTAAAAATATTTTTTGAGGGAGACTGGGTGGCTCAGTTGGTTAAGTATCTGCCTTTCGCTTGTGTCATGGTTCTAGAGCCCTGGGATCAAGCTCACTATAGGGCTCCCTGCTCAGCGGGGAACCTGCCTCTCCTTCTGCCACTCCCCTTGCTTGTGCTTGCTCGCTCACTCTCTCTATGTCAAATGGATGAATAAAATCTTCTAAAAAAAGAATACGTATTTTTTAAGGATAAGAGGTCACAATCAAAAAGTTGTAGTGACTAGATAATCATTTCCTTTGAAAGAGATTTTGGTTCATAAGGATGGTAAATTTATTTCAGCAAATTTTCAACAATTCTTTTAAAAAATTTGGTTATTTATAAGTAAGTAATCTCTACTACAACCAAAGTGAGGCTCAAACTCATGACCTGAGATCAAGAGTCACATGGTTTTCCAGTTGAGTCAGCCGGCTGCCCCAATTTTCAACAATTTCTAAAAAGAAAAATTATTTTTCTTACTCACCTTTTCCAGATCAAGTTCCTTCAAAAGAATACTTGCATTCTTATTTGCTTCTGCAGCCTGCTGGTCTTTAGCCTTCACAATTGTCTCAACACATTGGTGACATTTTTTCAAGAGTTCCTAGAGTAGAAAATGGAATTATATAAATATAGGAACACATAACATCAACAGGCCAAATAAATTGATGAACTGATGAACACAGTGAAGTCCAGGACTTAAAGCCCAAACAAATGAAAACTCACTAAGTCAAATATAAGCTATCCTTTGAGTCTAGTTATACATTATTCTTTCTTTTTTTTTAAAGTATACATTAATCTTTCATCAAAAAAAAGGCACTATTGGGGCACCTGGGTAGCTTAGTCGGTTAAATGTCTGCCTTCAGCTCAGGTCATGATCCCAGGGTTCAAGTCCCATGTTGGGTTCCCTGCTCAGTGGGAGTCTGCTTCTTCTGCCCGCCCCCCCCAGCGCCACTTGTGCTCGTGCCCTCTCTCTCTCTCTCTCTAATAAATAAAAAATCTTTAAAAAAGGGTGGGGCACTATTTCCTAAAAAGTCTGTGTTCTTAGAAAACCTTCTATTCAGGCCAATAGTCTAGCAATAACCCTTAGTTGCACTCACTGTGATGATAGTCCATAACAGGAAGGAAGTCTCAAAATAATTTATCAAAATTATTATATCCATTCTCCATGGAGAAACTAAAGCATAGATAGATTAGGTATCCGTCTCACATAAGACAAAAGGAAGGTTGCTAATCACACACTTCGACATACAATTCTATAAAGAACAAAAATGTACGACAACAGTGTATTAAACCTACCTTATCTGTAATTGTTGCTATGTATCTCATGCATTCTATATCAGAAGGGAACTGATTCACTTCCTTCACCAAATATTGAACAACTTTTACATGACCCTGTAAGAAGTACAACAAAAAATGCACAAAAGAACTCCTTAAAAATTTACCCATGTGTTTAACAATTTAAGAGTAAAAGGTGTGGTAATACTTCTGGATAGTTTACTAAACTGAAAATTGAAATTATGAAAACAAAAACA